CACCTGACTGACAGGTAAAGGAAGGCTGGAAGACCAGCAGTGCTCAGACCTCGAGGACCGTGATTTGAATAACCCTGTTATAGAAGCTTCTTCATACCCATGAGAATAAAAGGAAGATTCAGGATCTTTGGGATTCAAGACATGCTCTTGCTGGCTGGTCTTTGTTTGCCTATTTGTACTCAGATGATGGTCGAATGGTCTTTGGGGTGCACCCCACTGTTCATTATACGTTGAGTCACCATATCTGGGTAACTGCTGGACATCAGAGAAGGAAAAGCTCTCCAATAGGCCCAGAAGCTGTGGGATCGATGCCCGGACCTCTGAGTACAGTCCCTTCAAGATGCACAGCTGATTTACGCTGAAATGGACACTAGGGAAACACTGTTGTCAGCCATTCAACGTCACCATACTCAGGGGCAACTGACTGTAAGTCAACCATCACCATCATTTCAACGAAGATCTGAGAAAAAAAGAATACTGGTGGTGAGGGGTAGTAAAAAAAAAAGAAAAGCGAGTAGCCTACTAGTCATTTGTAATTTATTCATTTATTCAGACCTTATCTTGGTCTGCTCCTTTGTTTTGAAGGCTCACAGCAAGCTGATATTCTTTACTGTCCACAGAAAAAATGTGTTTCCCATACTGCAGGACTGTCTCGGCCGCTGTTCGCGATCACCAAAGCGGAACGACTGGGGCTGAGGGAAGGCCAGACAGAGTGAATCTTCTTTTAGCGCCGCATTACTCTATTAAACAGCAACACGTAACCACAACCTGATGAAGGTACAGAAGAGGCATCCTAATCGATCAACGTTTCAGGTTCAGAGAGTGTAAAAGCAGCAGTTAGTCGGCGCTGGATTTCTGAGAGGCGGGGGTCTGCTGGAGAGCTTTGTTGTTACTGATTACATGGGATATTGTGCTGTACTGCTTATTGTTACGCTGTTATTTATTATTGTAGTTCTGATTTGTGTATGAAATTTTCCTTGTGGTCAAGAAAGTCAATGAAAATAAGCAGAAATAATTTATGTACTCACATATACAATTATCCAATAATATCCTGCCTTCATCCGGAACCCCTAATGTGCGTCCCCTCCCCCCGTGGTGTCGTTACCTTACCCCCTCCCCCCCCCACTGTGCTGCTGGGTGTGGTTGTTACATCCAACCCCCTACCTCCACTAACCTTCACGTTTTTCAAAGATGATGAGGGCAGAGGCAGGCGTCGTCTTGGTGACAGAGACAGAGGTTATCTCCCCTCCCCCATGCCTGGACCTCAGGAAGTGAACGTAGAGCTTGTCTATCAACCGGTTATCCTGAACGTCCGTCCGTGGGGAGACCCCGCACTCTGACTGTCCGGTCCTCTGCTGCCATCTGCTGGAGCGGATGTCACCTGCTCAACTGCAGATTGTCATGTGGGATATGATAGTCATAGACCGCTCACTAATTAGGCACCGAAAGGGCAATAAGGGTAGGAGGAGACGAAAGCATTGCAAAAACAGAACATTCTTTTCTTTGAGGTTCTGTCGAATGTAAGACCTTTATTACTGTTACAGCATGGAATTGCGACTTTTCAGGTTTTAAATTCAACTCTGTTGCACTTTTTCACTCTGATTTCTACAGTTCTTTTTGAGAAGTGTTTTTCGTAAACAACACTTGCAAATATAATTATCAGCACTGACCAGCATAATGAACGCAGCAGGGGTATTTAAAATTACTGTGAACTGAATGACTGATGATACATAAGTGTAATGTTAATTTCTATTATTATTCTATGTTATCAGCTTTTTGTGAAAATGAAAAGAAAATCTAGATATAGTACTACAGGAAACACTTTTTTGGTATAAGACGAGCTTTCATTTCGCATGACTCATTTTGCAACCGCTGTTCAAACTCAGCACTAAAGTTGAAACCACAACAGGGCTCCACCTTTTAACAGCTTTTAACGTTTTAATTAGGAACTGAAATCATAACATGTGATACGAAACAAACGTGTACGTGCGGTATCCGTGTGACGAGTATTGAGTGTTTTTTAGTCAATCTTTTTTAAAAGGAAGCAGCGTGTAATAATTTACTGCAGTTATATATCACCACTGTCGGAGATTGAAAAGTATGAAAAAATGAAAATAAACGTTTTCGACATTGTATAACGGAACTAATATTTCAATTCTTTAATGTCTGTCAACATCAAGCACAGCAGAGAGGATCACCGAAAATCCACCGTAAACGCAGCGCAAGAACTGATGCATCTTGATTAATCCTATGTATATAGCGGAATATGTCTGCTTAAATATGTCTGCTTCTGTTTCTAATACGATATTTAGAATTGGTCAGTAAATGAAATGGCGCCAAAAATATAAATATATATAGGCCTACAAAAGTTCAAGGAAGTGAGAAGACCTGTAGCTATAGTTACCTAAAATGGCGACACTATCGTTAGCGGGCTTAAAAAGAGAGAATCTCATTAACGAATTTTGTCTCGATCAAATAAAATACCTGTCTTCGAAATACAGGGACAACACACCTAAATTAAACACCTTCGAGAAAAGGAAAGTGAAGGGAATGACTTTTGGTCGGTGTTAGCACTAGGTGGCGTAAAAGAACGGGAGGAAATGTGGAAGTGCAGAAATGGATAAATTAATGAACACAAACAAAAATAAAGAATAAAGAAAGTAATACAGCTATACAAACATACAAAGTTGTTGTGAGTGTATGTACATGCATGTACATGTATGTACATGCGTGCTCAGTTGTGTAGGCGAGATGTGCGGGCCTGTGTGCATGTGTTGTGTGCGTGTGTTGTGTGCATGTGTTTTCAACATGGAATGTACTAAATAGTGAGGGTGGGAGCCCGTAACCACACCCCACAAGAGCCAGAGGTCGGCGGAGACAGGCCCAGAACGACTGCAGCTTTCGAAGAGCACGGAAGAGCCGGGGCCCCACGTCCCAACGACAGCCGTGCACAGACAATCATTTCTAGGGTTTACAGAGAATTAGCTAAAAAAGAAAAAACATCAAGCGATTGGTGATTCTCTGGTCAAACATACCTTGTGGATGCCAGAGGTCAGGTCAAGTCAAGTCAAATAGGTCTTCATTGTCATTTTTAACCATACACAGGTAGTGCAATACAACGTTTCTCTCGGACTAAGGTGCTACATAGACTAACACAAGATTAACATATAACAACCTAACAACATGGAGTGCAAAGTGTCAATCTGGGCAAGCATTGCAAGACAAGACAAGACAAATGACACCGACGAGTACAAACAGCACAGTAAACCCAATACTGATAAGGTGCAGTTTGGTTGCGCAATGCGGTAGCAATAAGTTAATAAATAGTAGTAAACATTTCACCAGAAAACAATATTGGTGTGCAATGGGGTACTGATACAATAATAATCAGAGAAGATTGTCCAGATTGGTTCAAGCTGATAGAAAATTAGTAATTCAAGTAACCATTTTTTACAACCAAGGTATGCAGAAGAGCATCTCAGGATACACGACACGTCAAAGCTTGACGCAGATGGGCTACAGTAGTGGAAAACCGCACTGGGTGTCACTCCTGTCATCTAAAATCAGAAAACTGAGGCTACAGTGGACAAAGGCCCACCAAAAATGGACAATGGATAATTGGAAAAACACTCCTCGGTCAGATGAGTCTCGACTTCTGCTGCGACATTCAGATGGTCGGGTCAGAATCTGGAATAAACAGCATGAAAGCATGGATCCATCCTGCCTTGTAGCAACGATTCAGGTTGTTGCTGGTGCTGTAATGGTTTGAGGATATTTTTTGGCATATGTTGGACCCCTTAGTACTAGTTGAATATCGTTTAAATGCCACAGCCTACCTGAGTATTGCTGACCACATCCAACCCTTATTGACCAGCTTCTAATGGCTACGTCCAGCAGGATAGCCATCTCAGAGTGCTTCCTTCGACATGGCAATGAGTTCCATGTACCTAAAAGGTCTCCACAGTAATCGCATCTCAATCCAATAGAGCACCTATGGGATGTGGTAGAATGGGAGATTCTCGTCATGAAGGTGCAGCCGACAAATCTGCAGCGACTGCATGATGCTGTCATGTCAACATGGACCAAGGTCTCTGAGGAATGTTTCAAGCATCTTGTTGAGTTTATGCTACAAGAAATTAAAGCAGTTCTGTAAACAGTCAGTTTCAAGGCCTTAATTGCTATTAAAGTTACAGCTGCTCTTCTCTTCTTTTTTTCTCAAATTACAGCATCCACAAAGGCAAGTGCACCAGGTCACAGTGTATTTTTGTGTGTTGCTGTGCATGAGAGCACTAGACATTGTGCTCTCGCAATCAATTTGTAGAGTCGTCACTGTTGTTGTGATACTCTGCCTTCACCCCAGGGGCTTCTGGGAAACATTCCTAAAATTATTTAAACAGGTAAATACCAGTCAGGAAATGGCATGTCTTGCAAAACATAGTTTAGCTGTCCATAGTTGCAGTTGTCTCACATTCTTATAACGCTGTCATGTTCTTAGCAATCAGTACGAGTATAAATGTAACGTTTCGCATATTCGTGTATGAGCCATTGGGCACCATGTGCTTGGGCATTGTTAGCCTTGAATGCTAGTCTTGTTTCACCTGGCAGAAGCTGATAACAGCTCATATGGTTGACTTGCTAAGTTAACAGCATCCTTATAACATGATAAGCTTTCACATCTTTCTCCAGTCAGTAACTGGTTTCACAGCCAAACAATACACCTTTCTTTACTCCTATTTAATACAATAACCATTCACCTGGAGGTATAAAGGTTTATAGTTACTTGTATTATCTTCCTGGGAGACTTTGCTGATCTTTCCCTGTAAATTTCCCTGAATAAAATATGGGGAGTGAAGGGTAACTTCCTTGTGCAATCAGTAACCAAAGATTTAGGGAAATGGAATTAAGATGCATTTTTTTCTCCACTCTTAATATAGTAATTGACACGCCTCTCTCTCTAGGGCGAGCCAGACATCTGTAGCATGAGTGCAGGCTGATATATAAAGGCAACGGGGAGACCTTGCTGCTTGTTTTTCCCCAGACACTCAAAAAGGAAAGAGATGCATGCAGGCCAAGGCTTTGCGTTGATTTGTTTCTGGGTGGGACTGGTGCGGAGTGAAGATGCAGGCCGGTGTGCGACTGTGCTGGACATTGGGAGCTTGACTTCTGAGTTGTGCAGCCTGAGAGCCCGAGTGGAGCAGCTGGAGAAAGACCAGAGAGGTTGTACTCTTCCACTTTACTTGTGATTTCACTGACATTCCATTTTCTGCTCTTCATGACATGACTCATATTTTTCTTTCAGCTGTCCCAAGGGTGGCATTTTCTGCAGCCCTAAGGGAATCTGGATCTGGGAACATCGGACCTTTCCAGACAGACACAGCTCTCAAATATGCAAAGGTGTTTACCAACATTGGTAGCAGCTACAACCCATCAACAGGTAAGTTCTGAACCACTTTGTTTGCCTCTGTGGGTTCAGATCAGACTCGATGCCTGTGTTTGGAAGGTCGCTGGTTTGAATCCTTTGTTTGGCTAAGTAGTCACATTTCCATTGGCCCGTTGGCTCCACTGTACCTGCCCTTGTATATGCACAATTGTTCCATTTCAACGGGAAATAATTCTTAAGTGCTTGTGCTTCTATTATTTGCATAGGTTACCTCCCGTATTTGATTAGGTGAATTGATATCACTAAATTGTGAGGGTCTGCCTTGCCTCATGCCCTGAGATTCAGACGAAAGGCTCCAGACCTCTGGATAAGTGGTTAGAGAAAACAGATCAATGTTTATTGTTAAAAATGCGAACCTATTAAATCTATGACATGTACTTGCTTAATTTGAAATTGTGCTTCTTTGTGGGAAATAACTCACACTTTAAAGGCGTCCCTTCACTTTTCCCTCCCTGCCTTCTTGTGATCCTCACTCTGGACAGGCATCTTCACGGCCATGGTGAAAGGGGTTTACTATTTCAGATTCACCGCTTTCAACAACATAGACGGCACAGCCAACACCAACATAGTCCTGATGAAAAATACGGAGAGGACGGTCTCCATGTGGGACAAGGCGGGACAAGATTTCAATGACAGCGCCAGCACCGCTGTGGTTCTCCAGCTCGAGGTGGGGGACAATGTCTATGTCCAACTAAAGTCAGGCACCTACGTTTATGATGATTTGGGATTCTACAACTCCTTCAGTGGCTTCCTGCTGTTTCCCATCACTGCTTAAAACCAGTTCATCTAATCCAGTCTTTCCCAATCTGGTCCTCAAGATCCCACAAACAGTCCACGTTTTTACTCCCTCCCAGCTCTGAACAGAGCAAAAATGTGGACAGTCTGGCAAGGAGCTCAGAGGGAGCAAAAACAGGGACTGACTGTGCCAGACTGGGACCAAATTGGGAAACACTGATCTAATGAATGCTTCCTTAACGCAGTTGCATTAAAAGACCTTCAATAACCTTAGGAGTATCTTCTTTGCTAATGCCTTTACCTATGTTGTATGCAAATGTACAGTGATGGTCAATGCTGATCTTGAGAGAGAAAGATATGTGGGGAAATGGTAAACGATTCAAATAAAAGCTTTGTAGAAGTACTTGTTGATACACTTATTGTGTTTCACTGTTTTCAGCTTTATTGAGATAATATAATTAAGGCAGCAGATCTGGGGACTCCAGTGTCTTGTGCCCAGTGTTTCACAGGATAGGCTTCAGGCTCGGGATCCTGCACTGATTAAGAAAAATGGATGGGTGAGGTATTAAGTAGTGTTGGCCAACAGAAATTTCATGAACCATTTGCTGTATTTTCTGACCCCACTAGATGGTGCTCTCTATTAAAAAAAGACGCAATCCAGTATGCAAACCAAGAGCACCATCATGAAGCTTCATTTGACCATCAATAGTATTAAGTGGACTGATTACATCAAACCTATTTGTTCATATTGTTAAATTGTCTAAAACAAACTCTAAAACCAATTTTGTTAAAACAGATGTATTCCCTTATTTTCTTATATATTTGATTAAAGCCTCCCTTCAGATATCCATACATACACTATATGGACAAATGTATTGGGATATCTGGCCATTACTCATACAGGAACTTTCATGGCATCCCATTCTAAATCCATAGGCTTCAATATGGAGTTGGTCCCCTCTTTGCAGTTATAACAGCTGCCAATCTTCTGGTAAGGCTTTACACAAGCTGGGTTGATGGGGAAGAAATCCGGGCTCTTTGTGGGCCAGTCAAATTCCTCCACAAGAAACTCACCTAACCATGTCCTTATGGACCTTGCTTTGTGCACTAGAACACAGTCATGCTGGAACACAAAAGGGTTCCTTCCCCAAACTGTTCCCACAAAGATGGAAGCATAGAATTGTCCAAAATGTCTTGGTATGCTGAAGCTTCAAAAGTTCCCTTCACTGGAACTGAGGGGCCCAGCCCAACCCCTGAAAAACAGCCTGTTACAGCTGGCACACTGCAGTCAGGTGGGAAACGTTCTCCTGGCATCCACCAAACCCAGACTCGTCCGTCAGACTGACAGACAGAGAAGTGTGACTCATCACTCCACAGAGTACATTTCCGCTGCTCCAGAGTCCAGTGGTGCTGTGCTTTACACCACTGCATCTGACGCTTGGCACTGCGCTTGGTGATGTGAAGCTTGCATGCAGCTGCACAGCCATGGAAGCCCATTCCATGAAGCTCCCTGCGCACAGATTTTGGAGTTAATACCAGAGGAAGTCTGGAGCTCTGTAGTTTTTGAGTTAACAGAGCACTGGAGGCATTGATGCACTATGTGCCTCAGGACTCGGTGACCCGCTCTGTTAATTTACATGGCTGCCACTTCATGCCTGAGTTTCTGTTGTTCCTAAATGCTTCCATGTTGCAATAATACCACTTACAGTTGACCATGAAACATCTACCTGGGAAGAAATTTCACAAACTGACTTATTACAAGGCCCCATCCTGTGACAGCACCACGCTTGAATTCACTGAGCTCTTCAGAATGACCCATTCTTTCACAAATGTTTGTAAACCTGAATGCGTGGCTCGGTGCTTGATTTTATACACGTGTGGCAAAGGGTCTGAATGAAATAAGTGTGTCCCCGTGCTTTTGTCCATACAGTGTAGTTCCTACATTGTTTTGTCAGTTAAAATGACTTTTTAAATATTAAGAAAACCTTCAGAAACGTATGTTATTGGCTGTTTGGGTGTAAATTAATATTTGTTCAGTTAATTTATATATTATTATTATTATATGTATTATTGTACAGTGTGATAGTGTGACAAAGAAATGTGTAAATATGATGGCTTTTCAAAAAGAAAAAGAAAATGGATAGGTGGATGGATGGATGGATTTAATTTGGGAGCTTCACTATGACCCCCCATCTCTGAGTCACCTCATTGCAAGTCCCTTTGCATTGTGGGATGCAGACAGGCTACTCAAGCCCCTGTCATTCCTGTGTACAAAGAAAATGCATTAATCATGCTATATTTTTGCAAGTGGGGGGGGGGGGGTATAAAAGACCAAAAATTCTGAAACAGACACCCTTGAATATATAAGATGAAGTTGGGTTGTTGACCCAAGGTGACAGAATTTCTAGGTATGTCTCTGGTTGTCAGTCATTAGAAAATGTACCAGCGATTATTCCCAAAAGCACTTAATATTTGTAATTTTAAAGCCTCTGCAACTGTCATGACTCGTTTACACAAATTAAAAATCGTATCATATTATTATGACTGTAATTATTACTTAAATGGGCGAGGCCCTGTAAAATTTTAAAACATTAGTCCGTATTAAGTTTTCGTTTCATTAAAAGCTTATTATTACAGGCTTAAAACATTTACTATACATTTTAAAAATCTGATGAACACATTACCTATCAGCCCTTTATCCAAATAATTAAATTACCACCTTATGGCTCTGGTTCATTTGCTCTTTTATAACTTTTTACGTTGTAATAAGCTTAATTAATTTAATACATTATTGGGGGAAAAAATGGAAATACAGTCTTGTGACCTTAATCATTCTCGGAAAGATGTGATTCTTTTAGACTGCGGCCGATTTGAAAAAAAAATAATACAATATTTAAAGGAATCTTCCCTAAAACTTATCTACTACATTTCCTGGTTTGAGAGCAATATTTTAATTTAGCCTAACATATCCTGCTTAGTTTTGAATTATTTTTACGTTTAGATACACTTTTAATACACTTTTAATCGCCTTTTCACGTTTTACGGTTCTTGTTCCGATGTATCTGTTGTCAAACATACCATCTAATACTGTTACGCCTAATATCTTGTAGAATCATAAAGCACGAAGGACATCGGCGGAGGCCTACGAGCGGGAAGAAGGATGAAGAACCTCTCCACTACGCAACCACACGATGGCGCTGTTACTTAATTTCACAAGGGTACGTATTCTTTTTTTCGTGGGTGAAGCGCGATAGGCACTTTTAAACCACTGCACCTTGATGTCTGACTTAATCATGGTATTGACCAGTGGCATATGTTACGTGGTTAAACCAATTGTCATATAACCTTATTTAATCTGTTACAATTTCAGATGGAAAAGACTATTTATAATGTAATACAAATACCGTATTTATAAACTTGTTGCACATTTTATTCATTGTTGCACATTTTATTGTATTAGAAAAATAAGAATCACAGTACTATCTTGTAAAAAAAATCTATAGAGTGAGACTGGAATATCCTGCCAAAGTCCCATTTTTTAATCTCTCGACTGAAATCTTGTTGATAATCTGGCAAGTATCATCTGCTTGGATGTGGAATTTACCCAACGGGAAAGCCAATGTAGACATGAAACTGATTACCGCCGTCACTCATAAAGTCATTAGATGACCGCAAAGTAGATGACTTGTTGAGTTGAGCATTCGCAATGTGCAGAAATGGTGGGAAAGGATAGAACAGTTGGTCGATATTGAATTACGTTAATATTTTAATCACCTTTTATAGTTTAAAAGGCACTTTGGAAAGTACAGCAGTGCTGGATAAACCCAGTGTCCTTCTCAATGCCTGGCATAATCTGACCTTTAACTTGGGGTTCTAAAAAGATTTATAAAATCAGAATTTTGTGTTGTGATAAATAAATATCAATTCACCAGCCTTGGTTTCTGTTTCACATAGGAAGTTAGCATCAGTTTCCTGTTTGTTTGCCCCACAAATACACACTCATACGCTGCGGTCACTACTCACATAAAAGCGATTGTTGCTGTTTCCTTCTGCTTTTATTGTTGAGTTGTGTTTCGGTCAGGCTGCACAAATCAAGTGCCGGGCCCCACCTGCGATTGCTTGTCCCAACTCAATTGTGATTAAAATGATTTTATGTTCGGCACACTGATATAAACATGGAGTTTTCACCTGGGGCTCTGCGGTTTTGCCAGTTGATGTGTGAATTATGAAAGGTTATAAAAATGTGTATGGGGGCGGACTGGCATACTGGTATGGTCTGATTGCACAGGAATGTAGTTGTTGTGGGTACGTACGCGCGCGGTCATCTGAAGATCTCTGCGAGCTCTGTCTCAGACGATCCAGTGCCCATAAACCGAACGGCGCCCAAAACGTGAACCTCGGCAGCCATTGATATGCACTGCGATCAAGCGCTTTGTATTCTGGTCTGCTGCATAGATACACCCTTGCCTGGTTGACCACAAAGATGCTATGCAGTCCCGGTTCCTCTTTTTTTTGCGAAGACAGGTTCCTTCAGATGGTAGCAGTCTGAATGTACAGATGCGACGTTTAACGTGACGTGAAAGACAGCGCCTGGACTGGCCCTTGTCTCAAACTTGCGCTTCTGCATATCGCCCTGGAACCAAGACAAGTCTAAAAAAACACTTCATATATATATATATATATATATGTGTGTGTGTTTGTGTGTGTGTGTGTGTGTGTGTGTATTGAAATTTGTTGGCTGTCAGAGATCACTTGATTTTTAAATTGTAACACATACTCATCACCCAGCATAGCTACATTCCGATGACCCATCTAAACACTTCTGGTCTGGATCACTGGAGGGCCTAGTGCCTATTCCACACTATTCCATTGAGGAGCTGTATCCTCAATAGTAACCTGAGCTGTAGGTAATTGTACCTTTTAAGGTACATAAATGAGAAGACTCTGAGGAACATTTCTGTTCCAAAGATGGTATATTAATGCTGTTTGTACCTTTGGGCTGTTCCTCAGAGTCCATTTCTATACCTTAATAGGTACAATTACAAAGGTACAGCCCCAGTGACAAGCAAAGGTACAAATTGTTACCCTTTTTTCTGTGAGTGTGGAATAGGCACTAGGCCCTCCAGTGACCCAGACCAGAAGAAGTGTTAGAAGATAGATGGGTCATCTAGATGTAGCTATGCTGGGTGATGAATACTGTATGTGTTTTTTTCTGAGAGTGCACATAGAACTGGGCTGCGGCACACCCAGATCACTAGTGATTAATTTTCTCGTAGGGTAGTATACTTCTCTGTGACTAAGCTGACTTACGTCTAATTTTGCTCCGATATTTTGGGTCCAGAGACGAGTTACAATAAAAAGACACGTAAAACAATTATGAGAACCAGTCAGACCTGCTTTATC